AAAAAATCTTATCTAAAATATGGGGATACTAACCCATTTTCTTCTCATGGGTTTGCATGAAAAGCAAATGAAATGATGTATTTGAAAGTATCCTGAAAGTTATGAAAGGGCTAAAACCACCCCTAAGATGTTGCTTCTGTTCTCATTTTGGCTGTTTTCATGACAAAAGCTGGGACTTTGTAGCCTGCGTTCTGCCTGCACGTTCAAAGAATATTTAAAAAGCTCGAATCAGCAAGTTTAAATGTAACATACTTTTTTGTTGGCCTTGCATTTTGTCTTACTTTCCCACGTCAGACAATGATTAAATAGCTTTGGTTTTAGATACTATAGATATTCAACTCATCTTCATTAGTGGAGGAGATATTTGTGAACTGCTCCGAAGATAAGAAGTGCTGCAGGAGTGTTATTGGTATTCTAAAGTGGTTAACTTAATGGAACATTTGACCCAAATTTTAGAATCTCAGCCTCAAAGAAGCAGTAAAGTGGTGTAATAAAGGGAGACTGGGCTATGGGAGATATAAACCGAATTTATAATCTTATATTGTGGGGATGCTCGCAAAGCCAAATCAGAAGGGTAGGATGTGGGAAAGAGCAGAGGTGGTTTTTCTTCCAGAGAAATTATTCTCAAATTTGATAATTCATTTCCCATTAGAGAACAAAAACTATCATCCTACTCCACGGTGGTAAATCTCTCCGTGGAATAGGATAATAATTCTCCTTACCTGCCTGATCCTCCCTCTACCCCCTTTCACTCTCTCTATTAAACATGAATGGGCTTTCAGTCAATTAAGAGATTCCAATTACTAGTCTAGTCTCTTCCATTTTGCAAAGCTATCCAACCATATGAGATGGACTGAGATGGGAAAGCCTCTCTACCTTCCACCTCTCTGGCCAAATACCTGAAAACAAAATCTATTCGTGGCCTCAGGGCCAGGAGGGAACTGTAGCTGAGCCTTCAGAGCCTCTAGACAACGCTTCTACTTGAGTCTGTCTAGTTATTTTCCCATTCTCTGCCATCAACCGTTTCACATCCTTGCCTCTCAGGTCTTCTGCCCTACCCACCTTCCTTCTCTCTCCTTCTCCACGGAGAAAAGAAAAGCTATTGGGGCAGGGAAGGTGAGCTTTTATGCAGTTTAGTATATATCTGCCAGATACTGTGCTAGGCATTTTATATGGTCTTTTCCCTGTTGAACTTCAAAAACTATTTGAGGTAGATATCAGTATCTACAGTTTGCCAATGAAAAAACGGAGGCATAGACACTTAGTAACTTGCCTAAGGCCACATACTTAGCAAGGATTTGATCTAGAAATTGAAAGCAGATTTATTTGAGTCTAGTATGAGACAATGTTAAAGGCCCAGAGTAGGCGGGCGCTCAATAAATACTTGTTTAATGAATGATTGAATAGCCCCCTCGAATAATGTGCCTCCATTTCCATGGAGCTCTGTGTCATTTTCCTGGTCATGTTCTCTCCCTTGTGAGGCTACAGCATTTCCTTGACAATCTATTATCACATCTTTACGTTGTATAACAGTTACGTATATGATTATGAAAAGAGTATAAAATGCACCATAAGGTGCTCAGCAATGCGACTCGGTTTGTCCTCATTTACATGGTGGTTCATTTCAGAACCCTGACGAGCCTGAACGTGGACTCACCTGTCCATCTGCTGGCTGGACAGACAGGCCTCTCACTACTCCTCACGCTGAGAGGGGCACTCTCAGGAAAACAGGTCTGACTTGCTCTACTGCGATCCCATTTTTCTTTGTCACTGGCAGAAGATTTCACTGACTTGGGACAATTGGGGAAGTATGTGCTGGAGGTATCCTACGTGAGTGACACAAGCCTTTTCTGCAGTGGTATCTAGCTCTGGAAACACAAACCTTCTGAGGCTGAGTTATGTATGGAGGCACAATAGTGATTTCAAAGTGTTTCTTTTTCTCTGTCCAGACATCTATGAAACTCTAATATAACTTGGAAAAACGTTTTCGACAAGTATGTACTCATCTGTTTTGATTTTGTTCCCACCATTGAGTAACTTCCATTTATATTGAATCTTTAATCTAAGTATAAGGTACATTTTAGTTTCTATGCATTAGCCTCTCCCTCAATGAAAAAGGCCCTATTTATCATTTTCCCTTTAATCAGTGGCACTAGTCAGGAAGGATCAAAACTATTTCCTCTTTTACCTGAATAATTATTTCTCTCAAAATACCAAGTACCATAGAGTCTCTTTGTTGTTGTTGTTTTTTAAATAAAAATAGAATTTCCTAGTGTTCTGAGAACAGGGAATTTTGGCATGAAAGAAAAAAAAAATACAGATATAAGATAGGTTAAGCGAAAACTTTATAGTCCTGAATTCAAAATGAAAGTATCAGTTTGAACTCCAGAAGTATTTCATCACAC